AGGCCTACTGTCATATAGGTTATGTTATCGGGCATCCTTCTAATTCCCTTGAACAACCAAGATTGAACTTTTGAACTCTTTATAATTTCTATTATCTAGTCCAGTTAAAGTCCAGGGGAGGAAGCCCCATCATAGTAAAGAGGATACTAATGTGATGTGTGTAGTTCTTCATAGCCTCTTCATTTTGCTCTCAAAGTGCACGGAATTGATGGATTTTTAACAGAATGTAGAAAAAAATTCTCCCGGGGGGGCATGCCCCCGGACTCCCCTAAAGAGGCTGTGTTCCCCTTGGGGCTAAGCCCCCCTTGTTCTTGAAACCTAGTGACGCCCCTGCTTAACTACTTTCAAAATAACCCTCTTTGACTGCAAAACAACATATATCTAGTTATTTGTTCATTGTTTATTCAATGATTTAATTTGAATATTTTTAAGTATGGGGCCATTGTGCTGCTGCTGCTGTTGCTGCTGCCATTTCTCTGTTATTGCAGTTAAAAGAAAAAAAGAGCCTAGTTTTTTTAGTTATTGTTTTATTTATCGTGTCCAGTCGCTAATGCTGTAGTGTAGTGCACACGCTGGACTTGTGTCTGGGCAGTGACGATGTGAATGTGGGTGTGAATGTTTGTCTGACTCTATATGTGCCCTAGCAACTGACTGGTGACCAGTTCAGTGTGTAATCTGCCTTCCACCCGTAGCTGGGACAGGCTTCAGCAACTGCCCGCGACCCTGTTCAGGATAAGCGGTGTTGAAAATGGATGGAATTATCATGTATCTAAATCCGCACCCTCGATTGTTCATGTGCCCCCCCCCCATCCCACCATCCCACCCAATCCCATCCCACCAGTGCGATGATGTAAAAACTACAACAAGGATAATCATAAAAATAACAATAAAATGCATTCAATGGGTTGATTTCTACAATGATTCAGAGGGTTTGATGGCCAATGCTGTTATATTGTACTTATGAATGAAATACAGGGACATCCATGCATATGTCTTCAAGGCTCAGTATCTACCTGGCTTTGCCCTGATCCTGTTCTCCCACATCGTGTTTGACCAGCTGCAGCAGTATCTCTCTCTCTCTCTCTCTCTCTCTCTCTCTCTCTCTCTCTCTCTCTCTCTCTCTCTCTCTCTCTCTCTCTCTCTCTGTCTCTCTCTCTCTCATATCTGGGGACTGGCTGTATGGTCCCCTCCAAATGCAGCCGTCTTAAAAGCAACACAGAGGAAAGGAGTAATTAAGTGCTGACTGTTTCGACCATGTTCACTGTTTGGAACATACCGAAGGCCTGAGTTCTCTTCAATAACATTTACAAAAGAAGACGCCAGAGTTCTCTCTTCAATTATACACAGACTTTTGCTGTTCACAGACTGGTCTGTGTCCGTCACGGCCATCGGCGTACACTATCGTCTGCTTTTCCCTTTGTCCTGTGCTGTTCCTCATCCTGTCTATCGAGATAGTAGTAGAGTAACAAAGCTTTCTTTTCCATGTCACTTTCCAAGTAATCTTAAGTTTTGTGTCAAGAGTTACAATAAGATAATTGTCAATTTGAGTTTTGTGTTTTGCAAAATATCAAACTTTATATTGTGAAACAGCAACTGTTTTTTGCCCAGTGAAATAAGTTTATGTCTATTGTTGTCTTTTTTTCTTTTTTCTCTTCTGACTGATTTTGTTGTTGATGTTGTTGTTGTTATTGCTGTTGTAATTTATTTATTTAAAAATTGATAATTTGAAGTTTGTTGTTTCTGTGTTTGAGTCATTCGTTTGGGTTCAGCCATAGTTTGATGGTGACAAATGGTTTGGGAGTAACGGGAGGCGATGAATAATCGCAGTGAATGCATTTACTGTAACGTGAGGCGTACGCACACACACACACACACACACACACACACACACACACACACACACACACACACACACACACACACACACACACACACACACACACACACAAAAGAATGTGACTTCAAGCCATGAAAAATGATCACACTGCACTTTTGTTAATCCTATTTATGTGATACACACCCCAATCCCAATGAAGTTGAGTTGTGTAATATGTAAAAAAAAAAAAAGGAAAAAAATAATTTAATACCATTTTGCAGATCCTTTTCAACCTATATTCAATTGAATACACTACAAAGACAAGATATTTAATGTTCAACTGAAAACCTTTGTTTTTCTTCTTGCCTCTATTCATCTATCCATTTCCCGATCCGCTCATCCCCACAAGGGTCGTGTTGGAGCCTATATCCCAGTTGTCATCGGGCAGGAGACGGGGTAAATCCTGAACAGCTCATCAGCAAGCTCTGTAGAAGCCTGAAACGATCATGATCAATTGAATCAGGTGTGTTGGATTAGGGAGAGCTCAAAAACAGGCAGGATATCACTCTCGAGGAACCGTAGTTCCCTACCCCTGCACTGGAAAGTGCAGTGGCAATTGTGGCACGGAGTCTCGTTTGAGCACAGAGGAAGAATAAATTCTCCTTCTGAGATGACAACAGCAGCTCAATGTGTGCATCTCCTATTCTTGCCACAGTATTTCACCACACGTTAAAACATCAAGAAATATCGCATTGTCCTTCCAGCCACCAAGGCAGACCGGGCAACATATTCTGTAGTCATTTACATTTTGCAAAATATCTCAACTTCACTAGAATTGAGATTTATGGATAGATAGAAAGATCGATAGATAGATAGATAGTGTTACGGTATGGTTCCTCTCTGTTAACTGGATTTGAAAGAAACAATGTAGAATGCTGTTGAAGGTATTTCTTGCTTACTGTGATTACAATCACCTTTGGTACCCCCTCACCCCCACTACTTTTATGAACCCTCCAGAGGACATGTCAACATCAAAAGAGGAACTGTTATCTCAAGTATCTGTGTTGCAGCTATTGAGGGACTGCGCTTTGCTATGAGTACTATTGATCTCAGTCTCTTTCCTGAACATTTGTTTGCACACTTAAAACAACATATGTGGTGTTAAAGTTTATCTTCTTCCTCCTAGGTTGATTAACGGCCCCCCAAGTGTCTTCTGGTGTTCCCCCGCACCTTGGGTCGGTCCCTGATCCCTGTTAAGCCCCCCTGGGAAGACCTCTTATCTCAGGATGTATGCACAGCGGGGGTTCTGGAACTTGCCATCACACCAAATGGTGGCTAGTGGTGGTCTGGTCTCACCTCACCACTCCCATCTTCTTCCAGCCACACCGGGTCAGATGTCATGTTACTTTCTTTGTTTCCGGGATTTGCATGAGAGGCGTACCTAACCGCCTCTCATTATCATATTGTCTCTATATAATCTCATGAATGTGTTTCTTCTACGCTTCCTGATTCAAATCTGGACCCTTCAGGAGCCCGAATCGATTTGTAAACTGCAGAAAATAAATTAAAACCCTTCGAAGGAACTGTTCATCGCCTCCAGCCTTTATTTGGATTACCAACATTCTCCTCGTCCGAAATTCAACGAACACGCGGGGAAGAGGAGGCCGCTCTGACCCCAACAAGATAGATAGATAGATAGATAGATAGATAGATAGATAGATAGATAGATAGATAGATAGATAGCCAGCTAGCTAGTTGAATAGATAGATCGATAGGTAGATAGATAGATAGATAGATAGATAGATAGATATATAGACAGACAGACAGACAGACAGACAGACAGATAGATAGATAGATAGATACATACATACATACATACATACATACATACATACATACATACATACATACATACATACATACATA